CATGTGTTCCCGCGCTGGCTGTTCTCGACGCGCCCAAGTGGACCACACCGACACCACAGCAAACCCACGCCAGACCCATGGCAAGCCCTGCGCCCGATGCGGCGTTTGCCCTGGTGGCCGCGGCGTACTCCCCAAGGCGGAAGGCCGCGCGTCGGAACAAGCGGCGCGGCGACATGTGTTTTTGCTCTGCATTTGCGAGTCGGCACTTTGCGAGTAGTGAAAGCGCTCGGTAAGAAGCGAGGGTCCCCACGATGACGGGCCTTCGGCCCGGCAGTAAAGAGGGGAATACTCAGAAAGCACCTGTGCACCAGGGCTCGAGCTAGACAGTGTTTTTCGTTTTCGTTTCGTTTTCGGCTTTCCCTCGCTATGTCGTCGTTCCACCTTGGCTGCAAAACGAAATCAAAACGACAACGGCCCACGAAATCACCAAAACATCGTTTAGCTCGAGCCCTGCTACCACCTTCATGCCTGGCCAAGGCCATCCTTGGCTCGTGCATGGTGTAAACGCCCTCCGGGCCGAGGCGAGGTTATATGCCCATGCTGGGGCCCATCGTGGCTCTGGCCAGACACAGCGGTGGTGTGTAGGTGCATCCTGCGGAAGGGGAGGTGAGGAAGGGATGGTCTCGAAGCTTTTGGGCATTTGGGGGCCTCCTGGGACGACCCCGTGGCCACGGCTGCACCCGTCTCGGGATTATGGCCAGAAACTCACCCCTGGGAGGTCAAGGGGTCGATGTTGAGGGGGAGTGCCTGGGTGACCACAGACTGCTGTGGCAATCGGGGACCGCGCACTGCTGCAGGCTCTCTGGCAAATCTGCGGGCAGGGGTTACAGAAGTCTATACTCTAGCCCCGTTCCCTCTCAATGGCAGGGACCGTGTCATCCATGTCCCATCCCACAAGCAAGAACACCCATGTCATGGATTCCTTATGGAGCTAACAAAAACGGTTAGCTGTGTGTGCCTTCGCAAAAAAACAGTTCTGGGCACTTTCTTTCCAAATACCAGAAATCCAATCCCTGGTCATTCTGGCTTGGAGCCAATGCCAGCTCAGGGTCCGGCGGCTCCCAAGGCCCATCCTCCGCATCGTCCCAGTCGAGCGGCCGCTCCTGCGCGCTGTCGAGGCTGCTCAGCAGCTCGGAGGCGTCGATCCTGGTGAAGATGCGGTACCTGCCGCCAGTGCCAGGCGCGCTGAGCGGAACCACTGCGCCCTGCACGACCACGCCGTGCATTCTGCGCTCGCCCTTCCACAGAGCGCCTTCGCGGCAGACGCCCGGGTTGGCGCACAGGCGCAGCACGGGCACGAAGCCCGGCGCCGCGCAGCCTGCCGGCACCGCCTGCAGCGCACGCAGGAAGGCCAGCGGACCCGACGGCTCCGCCGCCGCCGGCCCAGCGGCCGCCTGCAGCAGGCCGACGAAGACGCCGCGCGCCGCACTCTCGCCGCCGAGCAGCGCGCTGGCGAGCACGGCCTCCTCGAAGCTGTCGTAGGCGATGGCGAACCAGATGATCGCTGGCATGATGTAGGCTATCTTGCCTCCCTGCATCTCCTCACCCAGAGCGTCCCCGCTCGAGGTCATCCGCGCCAGCACGGCCGAGTCGCCGTATATGGACGCCAGCGCCCCTCGGGCGCCAGGACCAGCCTTCGATGCCGCGGGCGCCCCTCGGGTCTGGGCCTCGGCCAGGGCTTCGTCGATCGAGGCCCGGCTCTGAGCCTCGGCCAGGGCCTCGTCGACCACGGCGCCATACTGTGGCCCAGCCGCCCGCGCGGCCTCGTGCAGGGCGTCTGCCACGGCCCCCCGCCGCTCTGCCCGCGAGCAGCTCAGCCGCTGGGGCTGGCGCAGCAGCACGAGCGCAGCACGCAGCAACAGCTCCCCAGCCTGCAGTGCCTTCGGGTTCTCGTGCGAGAACCGCTGGATCTCCCGCGAGGCTGCGGCGAGGTCGTCGGCCCCCGCGTGCTCGGCCAGCAGCAGAAGCGCGGGCACCCTGACGGCGCCGCCGAGGTCGACGTAGTGAGAGCCGGAGGCCTCGGGCAGTACGCCGCTCTCAAGGTGGCCAAGCGCCTCGCGCCAAGCTGCGTCGGGTGACTCCTCCGCCACATGGCTCCCGCCGTCGCCGGAGCCGCGCCCGCTCTGCCACTCGCGCGCGAAGGCGCGGAACTCGAAGCCGCGCTCGTGCACCGCCTGCGTCGCCTGCCACAGCTCCTGGCCGTGGAGGCTGTGCAGTGGCTCCACGACAGAGGCCCTCGCCGCCCAGCTCTCAGCAAAGGCCTCCCGGATGCCAGCGGGCCCCCTGCCGCGCATCTGCAGCAGGGCGTCCTCGGTGAGGCCCCCGTACGCGGCGCTCGCCTCGGCGCGGCTGGGCGCGCCGTAGCCAGCCAGCGCCAGCCTGTCCGCGACCAGCGCTCCCTGCAGCGCAGACCGGGCGCGCTCGGCCAGCGACGGCGCTGGGCCTCCATCGCCACAAATCCCTCCGACGGCCACCAGGCACAAGCACAGCACTGCCAACAACGAAGCGGGCTGAAACATGGCAGGGTCCGTGCCGTGAGGAGGGAGCCCTCTAGTCCATGCTTGAGCCAGCAGGAGGAGCAGCAGCAGCAGCAGCGGCGGCGGCGGCAGCGGCGGCAGGAATACCGAAAGAGGTGATGGCCTTTCTGGAAATTGAGTTCCTATTCCCCGTCGGCCTTTCGCTTCTGCAGGGGCTCTGGAGGAGGACGAATTGAGGCCTGAAGCCCTGCCTCACGTGCACTTCTCGTGCCACTCCTGCTGCCAACGAGCATTCCTCTGCTCTAATCCCCTGGTGTCCGTTGCCGCCCAAGTTCCCCAGCAGCTGCCAAACTCAGACAGACCCAGACAGCTGGCCCACAGAGCCAGCAGAGCCCTCTAGCCAGCTGGGAGGAGCACCACCCCTGGGAGGGTCGCCATTTCTCGAGCGCCACGGCGCCCGACCCACAGCTGGCCACAGAAGCCACAGCTGGCCCACATTTGCAGTGGCAACATCAGCAAGAACCGCATCAACTACGTAACGACAAGAAGAACAACAACATATCAACAACCAGTTTCACAACAGTAGCCACAACAACGTAAACACAACATGATTAGCAACGGCGGCACGAGTATAAGCCGCATCCTGATCACAACATGACAGCCACATGAACAGCAACGACGACATGAGCAACAGAAACACCATGAACAGCAATGGCGACTTCAGCAGCAACCGCATCAGCGGCAAACTATGGCAATCTCATCAGCAACATAGTCACGAGCAGCAGCCGTATCAGCAACGCCGACAGAGGCCTTCGAACATCACTTATTACTGCCAGGTGAAAGCCCTTTTATGCTACAACATATGTGGGGAATCGCAGATCAACAACATTCACAACGGCAGTCGCAGCAACGTAACAACCATATGATTAGCAACGACGACATGAGTAACAATCGCATCATGACCGCAGCAACATAACAACCACATAAACAACAACGATGACATGAGCAACCGCCGCATCATGAGCAGCAATGACGACTTCAGCAACAGCCGCACCAGCGGCAACCTCATCCGCAAAATAGTGACGAGCAGCAGCCGCATCAGCAAAGTCGGCAGATGCCTTCGATCAGAAATTATGATTGCCAGGTCAGAACTCCTTATGCTACAACATAGTTGGGGAACAATGGCCAGTGCCCACTTCTCATGTTCTTCCAATCGAAGGCAACTCGACGACTCCAGCTGACCGAGACGGCCGCGACGGTTTGGCTGTGAATGCGAGGGGTGTGAATGCCCGATCCCTGCTTGGCTGCAACGATAACGGGGGGTCGATCCCCAGCAACGTGGAGCATATTTCAAATTCCCTTCGACCTCTGTAGTCGGACCTCTGATTGCTCGCAGCAGTTGTTCATAGCGGTGCGCAGATTGCCAATCTCAAGTGTCTCGCTCGGCGAAGGCTTCAACCAATCGCGGTGCCGCGCGTATTCGCCGTCTCTATGGTGATCTTGAATCACAGCGCTCCAGCTTCATTGATGATGCCATGTTGCGTTGCTACAGCCTGACGGCCGTAGCCGTTGCGACGGTGGACGCCAGCAGGGATCTCCACCGCACAAGTGAACTCTGTAGCGCTAGCCACAGCTGTAGCTTCGTGATGAAAGCCATCGCGTTTAACCGATCTTGTCGCAAGCCAGGCTTGAAACTGTGTGAACATCTGCCTCCTGACCCGAATAATCCGGACCACCATCGGTGGAACCACATGCTCCAATCCCTCCCGCTTCGGCCCCGTTGTAAAATGGTGGCGCGCTTGTCACATTCAAAACACTACTCCATCTCATCAGCGCCGTGCATGTATATCTTCCAGGTCTCCAATCATTAAACGGTTGAGTGGCGATCCGTTTTCAAAATGCGGTTGTCGCCTTGGCACCGCACGTTCGTCTTACATGTTCCTGGCAATCAAGCGGATGAATGGCTGCCCATTGTCAAAATGTGGCCCTCGCCGTAGCGCCGCGTAAGTTCATCCTAAACGGGTCCAGCAATGACCTTGATGAGTTACAGTGCCTGTTCAACATGAGGCTCTCGCTTGATACTTCCTCCGATGTCATTACCAGACGCTGCCATACACTGAAAGTGTTACAAATGGGGTGCTTGGGACAGAGGGTGTGTGTGTGTGTGTGTGTTGCAGCGTCGAGGATGCATCCTGGGTTTACTCTGGTCGTCGTCCTCCTCTTCCTCCTTCACCTCCAGCTCCCTGTTCCGCCGTGTTCCACCTCGTCGTCGTCCTCCTCCTCCTCCTCCTCCTTCTCCTCCTCCTCCTCCTCCTCCTCCTCCTCCTCCTCCTCCTACTCCTCCTCCTCCTCCTCCTCGTTCTCCTCCTCCTCCTCCTCCTTGTCATCCTCCTAGTCCTCCTCCTCGTCATCCTCCTACTCCTCCTCCTCCTCCTCCTCCTCCTCCTCCTCCTCCTCCTCCTCCTCCTCCTCATCCTCCTCATCTTCCTCAGGCTTCGAGGACTGGCTGCGCCAGGCGCTGACCGTGGCGCTGCCGAGGGAGAGGATGGCGGCGGCTGGCTCGTACGCCGGGCCGTCTGTGTGGGGCATGATGCCCTGGTGCGGCGCCGGGTCCGGGTCCCTCTTCGGTCGATTCCTCGTGCCCCCTTCTCCACGACTGTAGTTTTCCCCTCGAGGTGCTACTATCTCCACTCCCCCAGCGGCGTGCTTTCATGCACCCGCCCTCCCACGCTCACGCGTCTCACGCTCAAGATGTTCAAGGTAGTAGGCTGCATGCCTTTCTCCAGTCGGGTCGTCTTCGACTGTTCCGAAGGACGCTGTCGCCTCCGCGCCTGCCTCCAGAAGAGCTCAGCGCACCCAGAGCGGTTGCGCCGGGCGCCGATGCTGCCGAAGAAAGCCCCAATGAGCCCAAAGACGGGGCACGATAGCCCAGAAGAAATCCAGAAGCCCCGAGAGGGCCCCACAACACCCCCAAGAGACACACAAAAGCTCCCCCAAGATGGCCCAAAAGGACTTCAAGACGGCTTTGTGACAAACTGCGAAAGGCCCCAAGAAGAACGCTGGGAGCCCCAAGCAACATCTTTCAATGGCACGCAAATGAGCCCAAGCATCCCTGCCTCGGCCACTACTGTGTTCGTACCGATTCGCCGCTGATGCTCCCTCCATCGCTGCAGTTTATACTGGATTTCTACCACTACTACATCTGCTGCTGCTGGTGATACTGGAAATGCTGCTACTGCGATTCCTCCTACTACCGAGCCATCATGATACTGCATAAGTTGCATCACACACAAGAGAAATCAAGCACGCTACGGCTATACTGAGCCATGCGTGTTTTTAGTATTTTGTTTTCTCTCCCTCTCTCTCGTACATGCTCCATGAATATACACATATGCGCAATTATATATGAACATACAAGACTGCATTGGCTCTTGGCACCAAGTGGACTGAAGAACAATCATTGGGCAGAGAGATAGAGAGCGAGAGAGAAGGAGAGAAAGAGAGAGAGAGAGAGCGAGAGAGAGAGGGATATAATAGAAGTGTGCCCCTGCTTTCGGCCAAGTCGTTCTCTTGTTCCTTCTCTTCCTTATTCGTTGTTATGTTTCTTCTTACTCGTTCTCCCCCTTCTCTGTGAACGCTTCCCCGTCCTCTTTATCGTTTTCAATTTTGGGGCGCCTCTGGAAGCCTCCTGCAAGCTTTTCAAGATCTGGCTCTTTTCTTCTGGTTCGCACGCCGATTGCTCTCATCACAGATTAGCAATAGTCGACGTGGCCGCAATTGCGTCGAGGATGAATTTCTCAATCTGCATGGCCACTAGAGAAACCGTCTCTGCGTGCAAGTGTGGATAGTGACCACCAGCAGGCACTTCGTAGCGATATACAGATGCGAGGAAATCCGGCATGCGATCCTCTAGACTCGGACATCCTCTCAACTTGCATATGTGCTCCGTGCAAGGCCCATCCTGCGTACAAATGAAAAGCACAGGACATGTGAGCTTGGGAAGTATAACTGTCCGCTCGAACTCCCGAGGGATGAGGTAAAAACTATCCTTGGTTGCATGAATTCTCGGATCAGACAATATGACAACGCTGCCATCCGCATCAACTTTTGATATAGCCCTCAAAACATTTTCCACGACGTCATTGGGGGGTCGCCCAGCAGGCGAAACCCCTTGAAGATGTCGTGTTGCGGTCCATTCTAATGCTTCCGCCCAGGACCTGAACGTTCGCTGAGGTAGAGGTTCGAGTCCCACAGAAATAGCGTGTGAGATTCGGAGCCCTCGGCTCTGGGTGAAGAATCCATCGTACATGCCACAAGCACCGTTGTTTTCCAGATACACGAGAGAGTCGATGCTCAAGTCACTGAGCGCAACGGCCGCGGATGCGATGCCCGTTGCCATGGAATGGGCCACAATGGTGAGAGTGTCAATTGCCCACGTGCTTCGCAAGAACCTGACGAATAGAATGAGGTCAATGGCGTGGTCTGCAAGTGAATAGCCACTAACACCATCGGGGAGCCACTCTGAATGCCCATGTCCCCGCCAATCGAGAGCTACATATTTCCATTTGGCAGGCAACATCTCTAGTAGTCTCACGAAACAAAATCCACTGTCACCCAGACCATGCAAGAGTAGTACTGTAGTGTTCTGCGGCGCATCATCATCGCCACATGGAAAAAGCGTCCGATATGCCAGGCATGGGCGGTGCCCATGCCGCCAGCGTTGCACCTGCTGGAACTGAGTTCGAACTTCGTCCGCCGATCGATGCTGCATGAGTGGATCTAGGACTGCATTGCACTTTGGTTAGAGCTGAGCCCATCCATGCTTGAACCGACATGGATTGCGCGCAAATATACCAACACGTGCACAGAAACACGTTTTCCTGATATTGCTCGGCAATCACATCCCACACATGACGCGTGAACTGATCTGGGGAAACCAAAAGGTACCGATACCGCTACTCCCCGGACTTCTCCTGGGGTGCGTTCTGACCAGGATTTCGAGGCGAATTCAGCGGTGGCGACGAGGGCCTCCCAGGAGGCCGAAAAAGGGTGAAAACGGGCGAGAGGTAGCGGTATGGGTACCTTTTCCTCCTCTGGTGATCGGTAGCATGCCCAGGGGCCCTCAGATGTAGCAGCCAAGCCAGGCGGCCGCCTCGCCCGGGCGGTAGTGGTTGACCAGCACGTGGTTCGGCACCGGCGAATACTGCGCCAGCACGCCGCCCGCGGCCAGACTCGCGCGAACCGCCTCGCACACCTGGCAGCGGTCGGCCAGCGGCGAGGGGGCAACTCGTCCGAGGCGGCAGCGGCAGACCAAAAGTCGCGGGGGTCGCCCCCAGAAGGGGTCGGCAGGGCTGGGGGAAAGAGGGGCTCGAACAACGTCCTGATCTTCCCCCTACTCCTTCTCGTACTTACTCCTCCAACGTCGAAGCGGATGGCTGGAAACAGGTCGCATCATAACATCACTCCCGGCGTATTCTTGTGAAACCGTGCGCGCAGGAAGAACAACGACAGCATAAGCCGAATCTTCAAGGGTAAGCACCCCTTGAAAATAACAACGACATATCGGTGAAACCGGTACCCCCCCGCCTACGAAGTGTTGACAACGGCCGAAAATCGATAGACAGACCGCACGATCTATCCCGACAAAAAACTCAAACCAATGAACAAACCGAAAAAAATACAATCGGCAAAACGTAAACGAAGAAACGGCTTGACTCTGAAAGCATAAACATACCTTTGCGATGCAGGGGGGATCTATTCAAAAACAAAAGCGACGTGGTCTGGGAACTAAAATTTAGCGTTCAGATCAACGCTGCTTTAGTTTCAACGCGCGCGAACATAAATGGTCTCAAACACGCTCCTTTCGCGCAATTGTCGTCGTCGTGCAACCACCGTGCAAAATTTTGATAGCGCTGGGCTGCCCTGAAGGGTTGAACGGTGCCCGCTAAAAAAACGACAACGAAATCTTGGATCTGACGGTCACCCCAGTCCAGCAGCGACTGCCAGGACTAATATCATAACCTACGGAGTGATATTGCGGTAGGGAAGCAGAAGACGAGATGGAATCGTTTTTCCCGCGGCGGCCACGCACCAAGGCTGTGCTTACCTCCGCCATCGCACGCTGAAGGACGCTCCCCTCAGAAGGTGTACCCTGCGCGGCAATGCGGCCCTCCTGGCGGTGGCCACGCCCAGCTCGCAACAGGGAGCACAGAAGAAGCTCGTACCTTCGCGCTCTGACGGCCAAGAGCGGCCCATCGATGGGCGGCGCGCAGTCGCCTCAAGGCCTCAACCGTGGCACGCCGCAGGCTTGCAGCACAGAGGTGGCTGAGGAGGAGGAGGAGGAGGAGGAGGGGGAGGAGGGGGAGGAGCAGGTGGTGAGACATGGTGAAACCTAAATAATCACGCAGCGCCTCGACATGGAGCCGCGCAGGATCTAACCAAATAGCGAGCTTAAGCACCTCGTACTCCGTCCTCCTCTCCTCCTCCTCCTCCTCCTCCTCCTCCTCCTCCTCCTCCTCAACGGGCACGATGTTCACAATGCGATCGGCAATGCGACAGCCAGCCGACGACTATGCATTCGTCGGGCCTGGTATCGAACCAAGCGCGGACCACCCGTTGCGTACAAGTGCTGAGGAGGAGGGAAGGCGTCAGACTCGCCGCCCCCCAGTACAAGATCAGCCGTCAGGGCCGACCTCGAGCAGCACGCCTTCCAGGCGGAGGCGGGGCACCTTGCAGGACGCGTCCGCACTCCCGGCATCTCGTCCCGTCCCTCCCTCTCCACGTGCAGTGGGCGGCGACGGGCCTACGGGACAAGCTGCAGTGGTGACCAATATATGCTGGCCGACGCAGTGCCTGAAAACATTCGCGGTAGGAGCCTCTCGCTCACTCCCTCCGCGGGCGCAGTACAGTACAGTCGGACCTAGGCCAAAACAACACCCCTCAAGAACATGAGACACTCCGCCGGCCAAGACAAACAGAACATCCAATGGGACCCTCCACAGGGAGCAGAAGAACATCCAACCAACCAGAAGAACACCAGGGGCACCTTCCCGAACCGACCTCGATCTTACACTTCGGTCGGTCCGACTGTATGGTACCAGAAGTCCCCAAGTCTCGTCGGGGGAACTTGCTCGAATAATCGCGCCGAAGACACCACCGACGCGCCGCGCGGGCACTCCACGCGCCGCCAAGAACCCCCAGAGGCGCCCCCAAGAGAGATCCAGGATGCCCCGAAGAAGCCTTCAGGAAACCACCACGAAGCCTTCCAGATGGAGGAGGGGGGAGGGGGCGGGGGACTGAAAGGAGGAGGAGATAAGAGGAGTAATCGTCTCGTCGGGAGAGCCCTGTCGAACCATCAGGCCCAAGACGGCCCCGACACCCCCACGGGCCCCCAACGCGCCACCAAGAATCCTCAAAGACGCCCCCAAGAGGTATCCAACAGGACCTTAAGAAGCCCTCAAGAAACTTGCACGGTGCCTTCCAGAGTCAAGAGGAGGGAAGGGAGGAGTACATAGCAAGGACAAGAGAACGAGGCTACCCAAGACGGCCACGATGGCCCCAAGACGTTTCCAAGACGGGCCGCGATGCCCCCAAGATGGCCTTAAAGGGGGCCCCAAGCTTTCCCGAGATGGCCCAAGAGGCCTCCAGGACGACCTAGGAGGCCTCCACGAGGACCTCCAGGACGGCCCAGAGAGGCCAACATCGCTGATTGTCCTTAAGTGTTTGAAAGATTTGGGCGTCTGCTCATGTTCGGCTTTCCGACGGCCTAAGACGGCCCCAGAGGCCACCAATATGACTCCAAGAGCCCCCAAGAGGCCCCCGAGACGGCTCCCCGACAGCCCATGAGGTCTCCAAGAGGGTCCCAAGACGGCCCAGGAGACCTCCAAGACGCCAAAGAGGGGCTGCAAGATGGCCCTGAAGCGCCCCAATAAGGCCCCATGTCGGCCCAGAGAGGCCCCCAAGACGGCTTCCGACGGCGCCAGACGGGCCAGGAACGCCCTCAGACGGCCAAAGAACCTCCCAAGGAGCCTCTAAAGGCACCCCCCACGAGGCCCAAGGAAGCCCCAAAGAGGCTTCCCAGAGGCTCCGAGGAATCTCCCCAAAGGCCCTAAGAGTGCCCCAAGAGGCTCCCGAGAGGCCTCCTTCTCCTGCTCCTCCTCCTCCTCCTCCTCTTTCTCCTCGTTTTTCCTTTCTCTCCTCCTCGTGTTCTTTCTGCCCCTTCTCCAAATGGCTTCTACGACGGCTGGGGGAACACATAATACGATAGCCTAGCCGAACTCTGGCCGCAGCGTTCGGCTACATAGACGATTCTACGAGGCAGAGGGCGGCGGTGATTCACACTAGGCGTCTTCGATCCGCCGGCCCCTGCGGCTTGCCACAACGGTGCACGGCGTGCCAGATCTTAGGTAGTTCCTGGTTTGTTTGAAAAGATTTTTTAGGGCCTTCGGCCCAACCCGCGGGCCACCCAGAAAGTCGCGTAAAGCCGTGCACAGCAAATCGTCCTAAATGCCAAGATGGCCCTCTATAGCCACCGAGAGACCTCCAAGACGGCAAAGACGGCTCAAGATGGCCTCCAAAACTGTCCCGAGACTTCTCTAAGACGGGCCGCGATGCTCCCAAGATGGCCTCGAGATCTCCCAAGACGGCCCAGAAGGCCTCCACGAGGACCTCCGGGATGGCCCAGAGAGGCCAACATCGTTGATTGTCCTTAGGTGTTTGAAGGGTTTGGGCGTTTGCTCATGTTCGGCTTTCCGACGGCTCAAGACGGCCCCAGAGGCCACCATGGTGGTCCCAAGAGCGGCCAAGAGGCCTCCGATATGGCTCCCTGACGGCCCCAGAGGTCCCCAAGACGGCCCCAAGAGGTCCCCAAGACGCCCCAGGAGACCTCTAAGACGCCAAAGAGAGTCTCCAAGAAGGCCCCAAGTCGGCCCAGAGAGACCCCCAAGACGGCTTCCGACGGTGCCAAACGGGCCAAGAACGCCCTTACAATTTCCCCATGAAGATCCAAACAGCCTCACTGGATCTCACTGGTGAACAGTCCCCTTCGACCCCGAGAGCACCAACGAGACCGCCAGCAGGCGCCAAAGAGGGCCCATAATGCGCATCAAGAGGGCCGCATTATGGGCCTATATGTATATATATATATATATATATATACACACAAGACTGCAGTGGCGCTTCGCGCCATGCACCTTGGTCCTTGAAGTTTGGCATGCAGGCGCAATAGCAAGAAGGTCAAGCCGACAATTTAACAATAACTCCTTGTTGCCTTTTCCGGCATCGCCGCTATGAAACTGTTATTCGTTATCGTTCCTCCATGCTTATTTTTTCTCATGTTTGCCATACCCTGCGCATTCTCCCCATCCTCCTCAGCTCTTTTTTGCGGAGGCTCCTCCTGGGAGAGCCTCTGGGGGCCTCACAAAAGTTGTTTCAGGCTTTCTTAAGGCCTTCTGAAGGCCTCCTGGGCTTATTCTGGGGGCTTCTGGGGGCTTCTTCGGGCCACCCTGCCTCCAATCGCGGTCTCCCTGAACGACCGGGTCACGATTTGGAATGCTTCGGAGGGTGTCTTGGGGCCATCTTGGGCCGCCATGGGGCTCGCTGAGGGCCATCTTGGACCCGTGTTGTGCCGTTTTGGGGCTCTCTTGGACTGCCTGGACGCCCTTTCGGATGGTTGTGGGGCGATTTTGGAGCCTCCCAGGCGGCTTCGGACGCCCAGAAGACCGCCGTCTTGGAGCGTCGGGAAGCCGAAAAGAGGGGAACCCCAAAATTCACCAAAAACCAACAGAAAATCCATGATTTTTGCCTCTTGGGGCCTTCTTGGGAATGCTCTTGGAGGCCTCTCTGGGGCCGTCCTGGAGGCCTCTTGGGCCATCTTGAGTTCACGTTGATCACTCTTGGAGCGCTCTTGTGCTGTCTTGGGGTCTCTGAGACGTCTCCGATGACCCCCCTGATCGCCCTAGGTGTGCTGGGAAGGCTTGGCAAAACGCCCTGCGAGGCCCGGGGGGACGCTTCAAGGCCCGTCCGGAGGGTCCCAAAGCCCCAGATCCCGGGAGTCCGTTTTTTTGGGGGGGGGGATCCCCCCGCCCAGGCTTATACAAGTGGCACGTGTGTGCCCAGGCTCATACAAAAAACTGAAGGGGCGTTTGAAGCAGGAGTGAAATGCAACATCGAAGTCGCACTCGAGCGCAAGTGGGGTTGCCACACCTTGCGATGTGTGTACCAGGGCCCCCAGGAAGCCTTAGGAGGCCCGACTTGGATACCAGAAGAGGCTCCAGGAG